CCATTGATCTTCAGAGCGTCGACCACGTTTTGTATTTCGGATTATCTGTCTGCGTCGGTAGAAGGGATGTTCTTTGCTCTGTCGACAAGGGTTCTAGCCACTGAGCGTTTGTTTTGAGATGGGTGGTGAGAGTTGAATTGAAGGTATTTATCAGTGTGTGTGATTTTCCTGTAGACGCTAGTTTTTACAACTCCATCGGGATTCCTGGTTGTCACGGTGTCCAGATATGCAATGGATCCGTCTTTTTCTTCTTCCACTGTAAATTTGATATGTTGATTAATTGAGCTAAGGTGGGAGCGGAACTCTGTAAGATGTTCACGAACGATGCAGACCTGGCTATCGTCAACATATCTATACCACCACTTAGGAGGTTGGGGTGTGGCGACTAAAGCTCTCTCTTCGCTGTGTGCCATAACCAAATTTGCCAAAATTGCGCTCATAGGTGAGCCCATCGGGCAGCCAAATACTTGTTTGTAGAAAGTGCCATCAAGGACGAAGTAGTTGTTATCAAGTGCAAATTCAAGAAAATTCATGATGCTGTCAAAAGACATGGTTGTTCTTTCCGAGGTGGTCGGATAAGCTTGAAGTTTGTTTTTAGTCACCTCGAACGCCAAAGTTGTTGGTATAGATGCGAAGAGGGATACCACATCGAAAGATAACATGGTTTCCTGCGGGGTGATGTTACAAACCGAGACTTTTTTCACAAAATCGCAGCTGTTCGTAACAGTGTACTTGTTGTTTCGTAGAGGGCTCAGGATAGAAGCTAGATGTTTAGACACTTGGTAAGTAGGACAGTTGATAGAGCTGGTGATGGGTCGTGGCGGAGAATTCAAAAGACATTTAACATCAGAAATAGACAAATCAGGGTCGAAAATAATTCTCGCTGCTTTCGGATGTATCGATTCCAAAGAGGAAAAAACATCTCTTTCAAAAGTATTTACAGGTAGGTACTTCATTGGTTTTATTGCTTTAATCTTTTGCACAAAAAATCTCTGACTTGAGAAACATGTTCAGACTATTAAATCCAATATGGTCCAATGAAACGATATTCCTAATTAGCAATGCTTCAATTTTGATTGCATGTATTGTGAGTTGATCATTTTTGCTCCAATTTAGCAATTGTCAACCATAATGTTACGTGCAACAAAAAATACATCTACACTCTCACTAGAAAAGATAAGGTAGCGTCATCAGCATAAAGATAGACATCTCCAATATGAATATGAATAATACCGATGAAGCAATGAGAGATTACATGCATTTTAGAAAGAGAAATGAAATCATAACGTATTATTCAGAAAAGGCCGTTATCAGTTTTCTTCTCGAACTGGTGGTGGTGCGTGTATTGCTAGTGTAAGTATCGAATCGATTTTGGCGTCTAACTGGCTCTGCGACAAATTTCGGGAATCAGATATTTCAAATTAACTAGAGTGCTATTCTGGTGACGATGTTTTGGGCGCTCTACGATTTATCGTTGTGACGACGTAATGCCAGGACGAAATTTACCATGCATTTTCATTCACCATCGATCTATCGATCATAAAAACTGAGGCACCGCGTTGTAGTTGCCGGAGGGACCTTTCTAGTAATACATCTAAGCAATTATAATAATGCAGTTCTATCATAGAATTCTACAGATCAGGGATTATCTTCTCAACTTTTTTAGATCACGAGTTCTATGTGAAGCTTTTAATGGTTTTGACCATCGACCGTTAAAGGGTCAGAAAACTGAAGACAAGATAAACATGAGGGGGAGGGGTTGGGAAGGGAAAGTGTGGGTCAATACGCTTGAGGGCAGCTAAATGCAAAACCAGGCGTGCGGAACATATAACTCAGTAATACGTAACTTGGTAACAATGCACGTGATACACGGTGATTATTTAAGGATATATCTGAACACAGTTGAAAGGGTTTTAGAGTACAGTTGCATATAATGCTGTCTCTGAGATTAAAGCCGGAGCACTCTTCATGTCATGGGAGACAGGAAAGTGAAGTCGAACATGGAGTATACTGCGGTGCGTCAGGTTTTGATTTCTAAATTGTCGACCACCGATCGAACACTCCATGAGGACGATCTGTGACGTATTCACCAAATGCTTTTTAGATGACAGAAATATACGTGGCATCAGCAAGAGCGAAAAACCTACACCGCGAGTGCACCGAGCAACCGTTACACGCTTTCAGCCCAGGGTGCATTGCGCTCTATTCGCGGGAAACTCGAAGTGGCAGCTAGAACCTTCTTTGGAAATTTTTTTGTGCCAGATCTATTAAAAAGTGCGTTTGAAAAAATGTGG